GGTAGATGTTCAGCATCGTGTACGTGTTCCACCGGTAAGTTGTAAGTTGTCATTTTTTTTACTGATTCTGTTGGTGCTGTGGATTAATGCATCCTTGCTGAAATTAGGTTACAGGCAATTGAGCAGAATCTTTCAAATCCAGCCTAGACACTCCAAACTTAGGAGTGACTTGTTTAACCATTGCAGGAGATTGTTTGACAAATGTAGCTCACGGAACCAAGGCTCTTTTTGTAGAGGACTTAAGAGGACTTTTTTTTAGTATTACTATATTTGCTCATTTTGGAATATTTTTTTCTGCATTCCATAGCTAATTACTGTACCAAAACCTAGGTTGTCAGTGGATTCTTTTTTAGGGAGGGATGAAATAGGTGGTAATTTGTAATTTAAGGAAATGATAAATAATTATGCCATTTTTATGTATACTGTGATATTGCACATGTGAATTTGGGAGGTATACAGACGGCTTACCCTAGGACAGATTTTTCTTTGTTAGTACATATTTTACCATTGACAACTGAGAGCCATAAAAATACTAGTTTATTACAAAGTGTTAGACAAACCTCTTTTGAGTCTTTGCAGTAAATTGGGTGATTTTACTAAGGTAGTATTAGAATTAATTTTCTCCATTCTTGCCTGTAGCGTGCATACATATTTTCACAGGAGACAAATCCCTATGTATATGGATGAAAATACCATTAAACTTTAACAATGTATTCTTAGCTCTATTTTTTAAAGATCTTTTTCAAATCCTAAATTTTGATCCAAGACTATGAGATGGAAGTGTTCTTTCGTCCAGGTATATAATTTCTTGCTATTTTAAACTCTTCTGCAATACTTCATAATCTAGGACTAACTTAAGATATATATATTTCTAGACTTTAAATTCCCTTACTAACAGATTACATGAAGACTAACCTGAAAGCTGATGTAGCCGTGTTGGAGTTGCAAGCCCCTGTACTTCATCTCCAAAATGTGAACCGGGTGTGCCTTCCTGGCGAGCTCAAGCACACAAGTGAACATGACTGTGAAGTGTCTGCATGGACTGCTGTGTTGCCCACACAGGTATGGTCAGTTTAGCACATTGGCAATGCGAACACTAGGTAGTCTGTAACCCACTAATATCCATTGTAATTTGTTTGTACGCAGATGGCTCAAGTTGAATAAGCACCGAGGTGTCCGTTACTAGTCCTGCCAGTATTTCCTTTTACCTTTTGTGTGTGTTCATTCTTTTCTGCTATCAGTAATGTTAACATTCAAAAGCTAAATTGCATTATTTCAGGTGAAGCCAGTAATTGATTCCTTAGTGGCTGGGTATTTGTGAAATGTGTATGCCAGGCTGAATTGTTGCTTGTACAAGTATTAGAGTATGCCACACGGTCCATTTGGCGTTGACTGTAGTAAATGATTTCTCCTGTCTTACACAGGGATGCTTTTATACAAATTTTAATAAATCAATCCACCTGGTATTCAAATTATCTGCCGCATCAACAGCTAAAGTCAGTAGCATCAAATACCTTCTTGGATTAAAATTAAAATTTTATCAATGAATCTGCGAAATAAAGTTCCATGGGAACAGTAGGTTAGCTGTAACCAGTTTTCATATCTTGTGGAGCTTGGTTTAGGTTTTGGAATACCTGGAAAATTTGTAATATTTGTGGTAGATTATCAGGAGAATCTTTTAAACAGGCATTCATAACATTGCCAATAATCACTGAGGCATAACTCTGAAAATACCTTACATACATTCTTCATTTTTCAGGATGGTTACAAACCAACCACGGATTTTAGCTCCATCCTCCGTCATTCCAAATATCAAACTTTGACAAGGGAAGATTGCCAGTATCGTCTGAGGTCTTCTCCGGCCCTGGGCAGTTTCTTCAGACTTCAGGAGGGTATACTGTGTGCCAAGCCTAAGGATTCCAAAATGTGTTTGGTAAGTGATTTAGGTATGCCCTAACTTTTATCTTGTCTATTTAGAAGGCAAATTGCATGAATAACCTGCAACAAATCTGAAAGTAAAAGAAAAATGGTATTACCTCGAGCATATTTATTGAAGTATGGTGATATAAAATTTCAAATGTGTAAGTAAATTAGAATTGCTGAAAGAGTGAGCAAGATGAGTGGGCATACCACTGACATGCTCAACTCTATTAATTGCTAAGCTTCCGAAGTGAAAGTAAAGATTTTAGGGATAAGGGGATGTGGGTGAGGGTGGTACAGACCTTTCTCCATAGAAAGCACCATTCATTGCTTGTTAATCTTGTCATAAGTAGTTCTTGCAGATAAGTGTAAATATTGCCTATATTTATTTAGATATAACAAGAAGTAATGTTGATTGCATTAGTTGATCTGCTTCCTTGTACATGTTATGAAGAGCTAAAAACAAGGTCTCCAATAATGAATAGGCAAAGTTTCCTTCTGCATCCGGTTCAATCATTCGTAACTTAAAATAGTTGCATCCATGTCCCAAGCTCAAGCATTATATACCATGCATGAACTCGCTGGCAAACCCTATTCCTGTCAGCTTCACTCAGAACAGTGCTACACTATTCCTCTGAGGTCAGCATAAGTCCTTTACCAGTATTAAGATTATTTTCTGTAGACATGACCTTCCCCATGAAGTTTGTTGGCAGTCCTCACCAATCTGACCACATTGACCACTCCCCCATCAGTGACAGAAATGCTGGCATTTTGGCTACCTTGATAAGCACTGTTGCTCCACAGCCTACCACCATTTGTCCAATCTGGCCATGATTGTTCAAACTGCTCTGTGTAATCGGACTAATTGTGGTGGCTCCCATAATGTATTTTTAGTGGTTATGCTAACTAGGCGAGGACACAATGCTAGGGAGCAACCCTGCCTTGGGCCTCAGCCCTCGAATCGACTATTTTTGCATGGTCGTCTTCCCCTCCTGCTTAAGTTCCCCTTCTCGAACCCCTTCTAGTATCCACTTCCTGTTGCTTCCCTGATCCTCTAGCAGAACAGATCTCGGTTCTGGATCCTGCAGCTAAGTAGATGTGCGCTGTGTGCACGTGCAGGGAACTAGGGGAACCCACTGTCCATTGAGCGCATACATGGCCGTAACAACCTGGGAAACTATGCTGAACTTCAGGTTGATTGGTCGTGTTTCTACAGGGGGTAAGGTACAAGCCATGGACAGACAGAATAGACGGAAAACAGAAGAGGTTGGAGGAGGGTATCATCCATGCAAATGGAGAAAGGTGTAAGTAAACGCGGAGAAAAATGATCTAGAACTGACCAATGGAAATCTAAAGGAAGAGAAGTGGGGCTTAGAAAGGTTAATGCATGAAAATGATTGCATGTGTCAGTGTGTAGGATGATTAAGAACAAGGTTAGTTGTGGAGAGGAAGCGTTCTAGGGATCAGCCATGGGAGTTGGTGACGGTATCACCCCAAAGAGTGCAGCAGCAGTTAAATTCACCAACTATGAGAAAAGGTGGCTGCAGTTGGAAGATTAGATTTTCAAAGGCAATAAAGTCAATGGGGTGGGATCTATCTACGTTGTGTAATCCGACGACGAAGAAAGATGCAAATAACTCTGCATCTGACAGTGGTTTGGAAGGGAGGTATGACTTTAGGGGTTTTCTGATGCACAAGTATAGACAAGACAAAGGAAGTATGAAGAAGAGAGATAATGGTAGTTGGGGAATGGTATAGAAGGATGTGTAAGATCAACACAAGGACTGCCCAGTCCTTATCTGACTGGGGAGCCTGCCAGTTCTCTCGTTGATCTCCACTTCACCTTCAGCACCCAACCATACCTGTGGGCACACACACACACACACACCCACACCCACCCACTCCACTCCACAAAGAGATAAGACACCAGTCCAGATAGTAGATGCAATACTAACTACACCCCCGTATTTGCTCCTGTTTTCCCTAACCCACCAAAATCAGATGTACCCCATTTTGTCCTCGCCCCAATCCTTGACCATGTCTCCATTCATCCCTCCAGTATTCATGTTTATATGGATGGCTCCAAATCCACCTCGGGTACTGGTTCCACAGTAAACTTCCCAATTCGTACTTTCAAATACCCCCTCCCTCCTGAATCCAGTGTCCTTGCTACAGGACTGTATGCACTACTTTATGCCTTAAAATCCCCATACTTGCCCCCTTCTTCCTTTCACTATTTCTACTGACTCCCGTAACTCATTAACACTCGGTCAAAGCACTCGACCAACCCTTGTCTGTAAGATTTAGAACTGGTTGTTCTACCGTTCACACGCTATAAAAAAATATCAGATTTTGCTGGGTGCCCAGCCGTGTTGGAATCCCCAGCAATGAACAGGCAGATACTCTAGTACACTATGCTGCTATGTTCACATTACTCCAAACACGTTTCTCATGTATTCTAGGCGCGGATTATTAACCCCCACTTTAAGACCTTCTCTTATAAAATTACATACTTTAAAACTATCAGTCTTCTCCTGGTTGGCTCCATTCCATCGGAACATACATTGGGAGACGACCCTTACCTGCTTGCATATTGGCTACACCCACCCAACACTCCTATCTGATGTCACTCTGATCCACCCCTATGTTTCCTATATAATGTCCCTCTTCCAGTTTCACACATTGTTGTCCTGTCCACACTTTGATGCAGCCTGTACCTCTGCTTCCCCCCCCCCCCCCCCCCCCCCCCCCCCCCCCCTATCCTCCCTTGACCGGCCTCCCAACCTATCAGACGTCCTTGGAGAATCTCCCTCTTCTTTGACGACCTGTTCGTCCTCAGTGTCCCTAAGTGACAATGTAAGGTTGCTTATGTCAGAAATTGGAGGCCTCTTAAATTATGCTGATCAGTTATCAGACTCGGAACCAACAGTAGTCATTGGGGCACACCACTGACCAGTGCACGGCCTCAATGTAAGACAATTGATGACTCTGCTAGGGGGAGAGGGGTCCATACTATGGTGGAGTCGTGCTGTGCAAGGTGGATTGAAGTTGTTTGACTTTACCAGGACAGAGTATGAGACATGATCCTAGTAAGTGAAAGGTGTCAAGAGAAGTTGAAGGAACAAATAGAAATTTAAACACGAAAAGCTTCTTGAATAAATCTGGCTTGCTCATTACAGTCATGTTCCTTGCAGACAGAATTAGACAACGATAATGCTAGCAGTATCATTGTGACAGTGAGGATGCTGTCTAGCAAAGCAAGGGTCCTTTCAGAAGTCCACCCATATTAAGATGAAGACCGGTGTAAACATGTATATGTACCAAAACTGCTCTCTGGAATGGTACAAAGTCCTGTGACATATTTGGCTCATAGCTTTATCTGCATTTTCTTTACTGGAGGAACTTTCTTTACTTGTGGGTATGGCAGTCATGGAATAAGTTTGAAGAAATCGGAACCTTTTATGAAGCTGCTGGTACAGTCAGTAACAGTGGATGTAGATATCAGCAAAGTTTGGGGTCCTCGGGTATGACCAGTCTTCCAACATTTGTGTGGGTGTCATGCAAGCAGGTAGGAGTTGACAGGGATCAAGCAACTGACCCTCAGCCAGGCAAGTCTCATGTTGACTATGTATAAAAGAAATAAAATGAATTTTTCTCAATTTTAATCAAAATTGGGCCATTACTCTAGGCTTATTAGGCATTCTATTGTGTATATTTTAGTAACCTTTTTTAAATAAGTCTCTTGGATTTTAAAAATGGCTCAGATTTGCTGATGTCTAGTCATCCATCCATCATTTGCCTTTAGCCTTGCCCCATTTACTCACCCTCTTCACCCTTTTCAGTACCATATCCAAAAGTCCTGTGGATTTTGATGAGTAAAACATTAAATCATTGACTCGCCCCTACCCCCTCCCTCTACTCTTTTCATTTCTGTACCTTCCTATACTGTTCATGACCTTTGATGTGTAGTGTGATTGAGACTTTTAACCCATAAACCTTTCCCAATGTGTCATTGACAGGGCGATGGTGGGAGCGGTCTTGTTTGTAAATCGCCTTCAGGCCAATACATCATAAAAGGTAATTAATTTTCTCAAGACTGCTTGATTATTACTTAAAACAATTGATATTTTGTCAATGGCATGCATTTTGAATTACCCTTATGATTTAACTTTTGCAGGATTGGTGTCATGGGGTGTAGGGTGCAAGCCCAGCCTGCCCACCGCTTTTGTTGATGTAGATTACTTCCTGCCATTCATTACCTCCGTAATTGGAGAGAAGGCATCAGCAAGGCCTGCAAGACACCCACACAGTGTACCCCACAAACCCAATGAAGCCTCGACGTCACAATTTTTTGAGTATTACAAACCACCCAAACATCCCGCACATCAAACTGGGCACGGTGGTCATTTTGAAACTACTTATTCCGATCCTCGACCTAACACTTATGTTCCTCCTAAAGGCAATGGTATCAACCACATAGGCCATGCCTCACCCTCTGGGTATGACAGCCTGCCGCCCGGCTATGGTACGCCCCCCTCTGGGTATGACAGCCTGCCGCCCGGCTATGGTACGCCCCCCTCTGGGTATGACAGCCTGCCGCCCGGCTATGGTACGCCCCCCTCTGGGTATGACAGCCTGCCGCCCGGCTATGTTACGCCCCCCTCTGGGTATGACAGCCTGCCGCCCGGCTATGGTACGCCCCCCTCTGGGTATGACAGCCTGCCGCCCGGCTATGGTACGCCCCCCTCTGGGTATGGCAGCCTGCCGCCCGGCTATGGTACGCCCCCCTCTGGGTATGGCAGCCCTCCGCCCGGCTATGGTACGCCCCCCTCTGGGTATGACAGCCCTCCGCCCGGCTATGGTACGCCCCCCTCTGGGTATGACAGCCCTCCGCCCGGCTATGGTACGCCCCCCTCTGGGTATGACAGCCCTCCGCCCGGCTATGGTACGCCCCCCTCTGGGTATGACAGCCCTTCGCCCGGCTATGGTACGCCCCCCTCTGGGTATGACAGCCCTTCGCCCGGCTATGGTACGCCCCCCTCTGGGTATGACAGCCCTTCGCCCGGCTATGGCACGCCCCCCTCTGGGTATGACAGCCCTCCGCCCTCCGGCTATGGTACGCCCCCCTCTGGGTATGACAGCCCGCCGCCCTCCGGCTATGGTACGCCCCCCTCTGGGTATGACAGCCCGCCGCCCTCCGGCTATGGTACGCCCCCCTCTGGGTATGACAGCCCGCCGCCCTCCGGCTATGGTACGCCCCCCTCTGGGTATGACAGCCCGCCGCCCTCCGGCTATGGTACGCCCCCCTCTGGGTATGACAGCCCGCCGCCCTCCGGCTATGGTACGCCCCCCTCTGGGTATGACAGCCCGCCGCCCTCCGGCTATGGTACGCCCCCCTCTGGGTATGACAGCCCGCCGCCCTCCGGCTATGGTACGCCCCCCTCTGGGTATGACAGCCCGCCGCCCTCCGGCTATGGTACGCCCCCCTCTGGGTATGACAGCCCGCCGCCCTCCGGCTATGGTACGCCCCCCTCTGGGTATGACAGCCCACCGCCCTCCGGCTATGGTACGCCCCCCTCTGGGTATGACAGCCCACCGCCCTCCGGCTATGGTACGCCCCCCTCTGGGTATGACAGCCTGCCGCCCTCCGGCTATGGTACGCCCCCCTCTGGGTATGACAGCCGACCACCCTCCGGCTATGGTACGCCCCCTGCCGGGTATGACAGCCCGCCGCCCCCCGGCTATGGTACGCCCCCTGCCGGGTATGACAGCCCGCCGCCCCCCGGCTATGGTACGCCCCCTGCCGGGTATGACAGCCCGCCGCCCCCCGGCTATGGTACGCCCCCTGCCGGGTATGACAGCCCGCCGCCCTCCGGCTATGGTACGCCCCCTGCCGGGTATGACAGCCTGCCACCCTCCGGCTATGGTACGCCCCCCACTGGGTATGATACTCCACCCTCCCAATATACAACACCGTCCAAGGGACAGGACTCTGTTCACACCGGATATGGATATACTGCCCCGCACAGTGACTATGGCGACCCTCCCAAGGGCCATCACGCCCCGCACAGTGACTATGGCGACCCTCCCAAGGGCCATCACGCCCCGCACAGTGACTATGGCGACCCTCCCAAGGGCCATCACGCCCCGCACAGTGACTATGGCGACCCTCCCAAGGGCCATCACGCCCCGCACAGTGACTATGGCGACCCTCCCAAGGGCCATCACGCCCCGCACAGTGACTATGGCGACCCTCCCAAGGGCCATCACGCCCCGCACAGTGACTATGGCGACCCTCCCAAGGGCCATCACGCCCCGCACAGTGACTATGGCGACCCTCCCAAGGGCCATCACGCCCCGCACAGTGACTATGGCGACCCTCCCAAGGGCCATCACGCCCCGCACAGTGACTATGGCGACCCTCCCAAGGGCCATCACGCCCCGCACAGTGACTATGGCGACCCTCCCAAGGGCCATCACGCCCCGCACAGTGACTATGGCGACCCTCCCAAGGGCCATCACGCCCCGCACAGTGACTATGGCGACCCTCCCAAGGGCCATCACGCCCCGCACAACGACTATGGCGACTATGAATACTATGAAGAATATGATAGCCATAGTTATGGTAGCACTTATAGGGAATATGAGGATACTTTTAACTATGAGCCATACGGAGACTATGGTGATCAATCCCACGGTCATGGCGACCGACATTCCCATAGTCCTGTTGTGGATTACATTAGGGGCAAACCAAAATAGCCTTAAAGAAATGGAACTACAGTAATAATGTAAGCTTTATCAAAAGCAATACCACATTTCACTTGTAAAGTAAAAGCCTTGTCAGATATTTCTTCATAAATCCATACCACCAACTGAAACTGTATTATTAGTGAACTGTTGCATAAGCTAACATGACCTGGAAAAAAATAAAAATATGCACGATAATAATGATGTTTAACTGAGTCCTAAAGATTTTGAGCAGTGACTAATATGTCAATTAGCTCTATGAACCTGGATTTTTCTTAAATATTTCAACCATGAAATTTTAAGTACTGTCCCTCTATTTGATTCTGTAAAGGTGAGATAAGGGAATAACAAATAATTTACATGGTCGTCATATAGGCATACTGATAACTTTAATAATAATTTATTAAACGATATTGGATGTGATAAACTGTATTCAAGTTAGAGCAAAATAATGTAAACCTCGTTTTTTTAGAAAAATAGAAACCTGTACAAAACCAAGAAAAATAGAAACCTGTATAAAACCATGAATGGTCATCGAGACAATATCTGGTCCATTGGTCACGGTCAACAAATGAATCGTATGGCAACACTATCTATGGAAGGGGCTAACAAGGTGCTACGTCCACAACACTGAGCATAGTACTCGGGTACTTGCTGAGCAAAAGTAATGGTCACAAACAGTTTGGTGAGGTTTGGCCGAATGCACAACAGGCAAAATGCTCATGTTGCATAGTAAAATTAAGGTATTAACCCAATGGTGCCGGGAAATATGAACAAAAATGGGGAAAATAATGTGCCCACTTTCTATGTTTTTCGTGAAATGTCTGCTGATAGGTGGCTCTTCTAGCGCCTGATTGAAATGGCGGGAAAAACGTATTTTTCACTAGTGCTATGAAAATAACATAATTTTTATAATTTTTTTTAACATTAGTTACGGCAAAATAAGATTACGTAAAATATTTTGTAAATCAAAGAAACGGGTAAACGGGCGAGACGGGGAGTTAGTACAAGTGCTGCCATCTATGTATAAAAACAAGCAAACAAGTACTCACTGTGGGCATAGCTCGTGCGTACACGTCATACCCGGCACCAAGGGGTTAAATCTTTGTTACCACCTATTATCCTCCAATCTTATCAGTGCTTGCCCGCCCCCCCCCAATCTTTTGCCCGTTGTTGTCGTGGGGGGGCTTAGGAGGCGGAGACTGGGACCCAATGATGGGGAACTCCCCAACCTTGGGACTCAGCCCTCGACTCAACTAATTATGCATGGTCTTTTTTTTCCCTTCCCACTTTTGTTTCTGTCCCTTCACCAAACCCTTCTCCTATCCACCTCCTAAGGTGTGAGATGAAAGGCTGACTTTGTCCTGAACGGCCTGAGGGAGCCATGGGCACGGTATTCCCCTGATTTTAGTTATCTAGCCCTTACCCCTCAAGGGGACCCTGAGGGGTGGACTGTTTTTATCCCCAACATAATCCAGGCTTCCCATGGCCAGTAATGAAAATATATCTCCACTGTTAGGGGCAATGAGGCTTGCCCCTTTATCAAATAGCCCCAACGAAGTAAACCCACCGGATTCCCCGACCCCAGGCTCTCCTTTGACCACGGCTCCGAACACTGCAATAACTACCCCTTCACCAATGCCTACTAGTACAGTAGCCAATAATCAACCCTCAAGGAACAATTCCACTCTCCCAGCATGCCCAACTTCAACACCTCTACCCCCACAACCTCCAACATCAACCACCCCATCCTCCCTTATTAATACCTTACAGCCTTATAGCCCACCTCTCCATAACACTACCTCCATCAACACTACTCCATCTTCGTCACGCCCTCGCCCTTCTACCACCCCTATCTCTAAAACAATCTTGAATACTCTCTTCAGTGCAGCCAAATGGGACCGATTTTTCGTGATCCCTCCCACAGCTCCCTACTCTGACAACACCCTTCTCTTCCAACAATGCCTCCAAAAACAAGTAGGTAAAGTCTCTTTCCGTAGCCGACCCGACCGCTCCCGTCTTGTAACAGTAACATCCGAAAACCAAGCAATAGCATTAACAAAACTGACCAATATGGTAATCCCATCCTAGCAGAACCCCATCCAACCCTCAATACTTGCACCGGAACAGTCTCAATCTCACCAGCAAATTGCCCAATCTATGACAAAGATTGGTCAGATTGTGGAGAAGATCTACTTGCCTGTCTCACAGACTACGATGCAACATCAGTACAATGCTATTCCATCCCCCCCAGAGGTCATCGAAAGAAACCCACTAACATAGCCAAAATTACCTTCCGTAGACATGACCTTCCCTTTAACGTCTACATAGGAGGAGAATCCCTCCCTGTTCGTCCATACCAACCTCCTCCACGTCAGTGCCAAAATTGTTGGCGTCTAGGACACCCAGCCAAACACTGCCGTTCCACAGCCAGATGCCCATTATGTGCCCAACCTGGCCACACCCGATCTAACTGCTCTGCACAATCACGCACATGTGCCAACTGTGGCGGCCCCCATAATGTATTTTATAGGGGCTGTCCCACCTACAAATTTGAATCTGAGGTAGCAACTCTCAGATTCAAACTTGGACTCACACTGTGTGAAGCCAGACAGGAAGCACGTCGACGTGGATTCTCTCTTACTCCTTACTCCTTACTCCAGTAATACTGCTCATTCTAACACTTCTCCTAAACCCACCCCTCCTACATCTAACCCCCCCCACTTCTACCTCCTACCTTCCCCAGTCAAACTCTTTTGCCATCCTAAATCCAGAAACTCCAATCTCTAATACAGATACTCCAATCACCACTACAACCCCAACACCTTCCCCTCTCCCTCCTCGCACTCCCCGTAACAGACAGAACAAACGTTCCACCCCCTCTTCCCCTACCACACAATCACCTCCACCATCCTTTGCCCCTACTCTTGAGACACCAGTCCTCTCTTCCCCCCCTCACAAGAAATCCTTTATCCCCCACAACTCCCCAACCAACTCCTCAGAAGAAACTATTGAAAATATTCAAGATTACTTAATGCAAACTGACACTCAACCTACAACCCCTGCTCCTTCCACACTCCAAGTAACTGCTGATATCCATCCCCCTCCTAACGATATCCCGCCTACACCCTATCCTCCTACCCCCTCCCAACACAGCCCATCCCCCCCGACCCCGACCCCAACCCAGCCCACATTAACCCTCCCACCATCCCCTCTATCCCTTCCACTCCCTCCTGGATACACACGTGAATCCCTTATGTCACAAGTATCCCCTTCCTCAGACCCTCCATCTCCTAATACCCCTCCTGATAGAACACCAACTCCCACACCTCTCCCATCTCAAACCTCTCAGTCCTTATCCCACCCTCTAGCTGATTCCCCATCAAAGTCTCCAACACGTACTGCAATCTATATCACTAAATCAACGAAAGTATAACTATCCTTCATTGGAATATTCGCGGTTTCCGCTCCCACAGACCTGACCTTCGTCATATCCTTTCCTCTTATAACCCATCTATTGTATGCCTTCAAGAAACCTTTCTTACACATCCTCCAATACCAATCCCCAATTATCATTTTGTCTCTTCCCCACATTCCCTTTATGTCTCGTCTATACTTATCAATCAGAAAACACCTTATGTCACACCACCCTTTCAAACCAATGTCCCTTGTACAGTTATTCGTATCTTCCTTCATCGTTGGATCACAGTGATTTCAGTCTACTTCTCCCCTTCCCACCCCATTGACTTTGTTGCTTTTGAAAATCTAATTTCCCAACTTCAACCACCTTTCCTCATAGTAGGCGACTTTAACTGCCGCCACACTCTTTGGGGTGATTCTATTACCAACTCCCGAGGCCGATCTCTAGAGCGCTTCCTCTCCACAGCTGACCTTACTATTCTAAATTCAGATCGCCCTACACACTTTGATACACGCACGCAATCTTTTTCATGCATTGACCTCTCTCTATGCTCCCCTTCTCTTCATATAGATTTCCACTGGTCAGTCTTAGACCACTTTCCCTATAGTGACCACTTTCCAGTTCTCCTTTCTCCTACTTCATACGTACCACTTCCTAACTCCCCACGCTGGTGCTTTGATAGAGCCGACTGGCATACTTTCACTTCACTCTCTGCTATTCATACCCCTCCATCCTCCCTCACCTCCATTTCAGAAATGATACAATGTTTCACAAGTACAGTCTTAAGAGCTGCACATACAGCTATCCCTCGAACCTCAAGACCATATACCTCTAAATGTGTTCCATGGTGGAATTCTGATTGCACTAAAGCACTTCACTTAAAACGTGCAGCCTGGAACAGTTACCGCTACAAGAGAGGTACTCCAAATCAACTATCAGCCCTTATCTCCTTTAAAAGAGCATCTGCCTGTCTTCGTCGTACAATCCGGAATAGTAAAACAAATAGCTGGCGAAATTATGTTTCATCAATTACATCCTCTACATCTATCTCAAATGTATGGCGACGAATCCATAAACTATCAGGCAAACATCCCCCCCATCCTGCCCCCGTCCTCCATATTCGAGATACCCTCATTTCGGATCCTCTCCAAGTCGCTAATGAACTGGGTGATTATTTCAGCCAGGTCAGTAGTGGCTCTCACCTTTCTCCACACTTCTCTTCTATCAAGACCACCAGAGAACGTACCCCCATTACCTTCACCCCATCCTCCACTGAGTCCTATAATGCCCCATTTTCTTCCTCTGAACTCATTACTGCCCTACAATCGTGCCGCAACACTCATGAAGGCCCTGACGGTATTCACTACCGTATGCTCCGGCAACTCCCATCTTCCTCCTTATCCTTCCTATTAAAAATTTACAACCACATATGGACATCAGGAAATTTTCCTTCTAATTGGCGAGAAGCTCTTATCCTTCCCTTCCTGAAACCCAATAAATCGGGTACCCTCCCTCAAGACTATCGCCCCATCGCACTAACTAGCTGCTTGTGCAAACTTCCGCTTAATGTGGTATCTTGAAAATCTCAATC